TTTTACTCCTTAAAATAACTGAGATATACGAGATAGAACAGAGACACTGTTACAGTCATATGTTTATTCCTGACTCATCGACATCTGTTTATTCATTCTTTGACGCTTATCCCTTATATATATGCTCTCTCTCTTGTCGCTTAGGTGGTTCTGTTCTGTTCTGTTCTGTTGTTGTTCTCGCGTCGATATCTCGAAATAAACGAACATCGAGAAGGTACACGGAATCCTCTAATAGACACCCTCGAAAAGCGTTCGCTTTACCAACATTGACTCTATAGAACGACAAACTGATATCATCTATTATGTTATTTAACATACAAGTCGCATTCATTTAAATGTGATATTTGAATTTTACACAAGTTTGCTTTGTAAAAAAAAAGAAATATTACAATCTAGATGATGCAATAAAGAAAGTTGATGAAAATTTTCTATGTAATAAAATAGTTCACTAAAAATATACATTCAATTATTCTTTTGTGTATAAAATAAAGATTTTTAGAAACAATAAAAAAGAAACATTTCATAATAAGTGTCTTCGTTGTCCTATAAACTGTATATTTCTTGCCTGAAATTTGTATTCATAACTTTTTTTGCGTTTCTACTCGATTCAATTTTACAGTCTAAAGACTTCGAATAATTTTAAAAATCATGCATGACGAGACCAATATATGACGAAGTCATTATTTGGTCGATGTTAGAGTACATAATGCACTGAAGTGTGAAATTGTAAATGACGTGTTTTATTTTTGTATTTTATTTGATAGGACACATCATTAGAAAAAAAACACTTCAAGCGATAAAATATGAGTACGAAATTAAAGGCAATTGAATTCACATTTATTGTTCAGAATATGCAAATTCCACCACTTACATATCTTGATTGTTAGGCATTGTGATCACAAGCATAATATAGAATGCATTGTAGTTTTAAGTCTCAATAAGATGCTGCATTTCTCTATTACTTGTTCGAAAAAAGACTTAGAAATGAGACTATTATTTTCTTGGTGAGAAATATAAAATGGAAATGTTATAATGAAACCAGAGATATTTTAATTACAGCATCAAACTGTTTAAAGATCTTTTTTCAACTTTTATAAAAAAAAAAAAAAGAAAAACATATTCATAAAATAAGTGAGAAACATTAAAACCACAAAATTGAGGGTCAATTTTCTTATAAACAGAAGCGATCGGACGAGTTCTTAGTTTGTTCTTGGTACAATTTAAATTGAAGGGTGTTTTTCAACTCTTTAATCTTATCAAGAATTAGTCGTTGATGCTCTGTATTTTTGATTCCATATTCAATGAGAGTATGCTTGTCAACAATATTTTTGAGCCAAAATCCATCAACATTGTGTTTCTTGAGGACAGGCACATACTTTTTATATTCATCACCCAACGAAATAATCCAACGGCAAACATCATCACAGGTTTCCAAATTTTTGTTAAAATTATCTGCTATACAAAAAAAAAAGTATTACGATATAGCTCTCGACATATTCGTCAGAAAAATGACTAGAAAAGTCAATCATGTGAAAATTTTTTCGGCAACTAAAACTTTTTCTATTCTAACTTAGTCGAATATAAAGCTCTTACCTTTAGATACAGCCACGGATGTACTGCCTTGCAATGGTTTTAAATGATTGGAACGTATATTCCTTTCTACAACACGTGATGGACGAGAATTAGCAGTATCACCATAACTACGCTGTGATGTAAGAGGTTTATTAGTACCATTCGGTTGCGTTACATTTAGAGTGTGTTTCTTGGACTGACTTTGTTCATCGTCATCATTTGTCTGAATAACGCGTTCGAACTTGGATTTGTCATTTCTTCTAGAACGTGTTTGATCGATTTGTGATAAATCAAGTTGAGAAACCCATGTATTAATGTTGGAATATTGCTGTTGTGTAGTATACATGTCCATGGTAGTATTTGATCGTTGTTGTTGATTGACAGCAACAGACACCGTCAAAGGTGGTGGTCTATTTGGGTTCCATTTTTCCGCATCATATGCAATCCATTTGCTCAGACATTTTATAAAGCCGTGACCGTATAAATACTTCAGCCATTTCGGAGGTAATCGATCATAACCATAGTAGGCACCGGCTAATTGACCATAGATTGCTGCTGTTGTGTCAGTATCATCACCAAGGTTAATAGCAGCGAGAACACCTATCTCAAACGAATCTTTATCATAATAAAAGGCCCACAAAGCGGCTTCCAATGCATTGACAACATATCCTGTGCCTCGAATACCTTGATCATATCCATGCTCTCTTTTATAAGATCCTTGGGCGACTTTCATAATGTCGGGATGAAGTGGTTTATTATTAAACCAATCTATATGTTTGGAATAAAAATTGTCGTCGAGCAGTTCTTTTTTGCTCTTGCCACTAAGAGCAGCCACAATAAGAGCACCGTAATAACGACAAGCATCATAAGCACGTTGATCATCATGAGTTAATTTTGCATTGTATCCAGAAAAATGGACTGCATACTTGGGATAACGGTAGAAGAAGAGTGGTACTGGAGCGAGTCGCATTAAAGCACCATTACCAGCTACATTCTTATCACTACAGAATACATTAAAATTTTTTGAAATTTCCGAAGGTTTAAGATAGTCTAACTGTTCAACAGAAATATTATAACTGCTAGCAAAATTAAATTGACGGATTTCAAATTCAAGCAATGCTCGTTTGGTAGACGCACCAATATCAAAACATTCTCCTGTTGAAGACATGTAACCTTTTTTAGACCACCATTTGTATCGAACCAGTTGGTCATAAGGAAAAAAATCATGATGTGCCACCAATGAACTTGCTAGACATAGAGCCATAGATGTATCATCGGTGAACTAAATTTATTAGAAAAGCAATTGATTTAAAGATTTTGAAACAATAGAAAACTCAGAAGATAAAATCAATCAATCTAATGTTCACGACATAGACAGAAGTATTTTTCTCTATTGAAACTAAAAACAGAGAACAATTGTAAAATCTTTTTATCTTTAATTAGATATTAGTCTAGGAATATTGCAACTCAGTAATCGTTTTGATTTAAGGAAGTGTTGAATATCTCCTTGAACAAAAACCGATTTAATCTTTAAGTCGATGATTGCAAACTCTCGAAACGAATGGATTTCACTGAAACCAACCGGAAAAATGTAGAAAAAATCATTGTATCCGACAGAAAAACACGAAAAATCGATGGAACATAGAAGCAATATTTCAAACCACAACGTCTGTAGATTTTTCAAATGGTTTACGACTATTTCCTGCCAGAAAGAATAGAAAGTTGACAGAATTTTATCGAAAAAATCCAAAGACTTTCCGATCCGGAGTACTGCTTCCTAATTTCACTGATTTTCGATGTTTTCTTATCGAAACTGGTTCGTATTTCTTGATTTGAATCGTGCAGATTTTTCAAGAAGTTCATTTCGATTTTTGAGCTGAAACTGTTCGGGATCTAAATCCTCTAAAGGACAAAAGTAAGCCGAATGATTACAAGATTTGTTTTCATTTGATTTAACTCAATAAGTAAGATCACTGAATATTCAGCATTGTTTAATGCTCTATTTTGTCTTTTTAAGATATCAAATTAACCAAAAACCTAACAGAATTCGTTATTGTATCCTTTTATTTTCAAGTTAGTGAGTATTTATCGAAAACTAGAAACTTTGACTGAAAATGTATGGATATCCTACATCTCGTATTAAAAATATTCTCTATCGATGGTCGCTTCACATATATGAAAGAATCAAGTCTAAGAAGCTCCTATAACGTAAAATAAATGGTTTTTGCTTTTCAAAATGATGAAATTTTCTTAGCAGTTATTATGTTTGAAAAAAAAACCAGCTGAAAAATTTATAGGTAGAAGAATAATTCATGATGAGTTATGAAGCTGTAATCTATGTCAAAAGCTAAAGTTGAAAGACATTTTCTTTTAGTTAGGACCTGAGCTTTAATCAACACTAATTGAATCAATGATAAATAAATTCATATAAATGAAACTTACCTCTCCTTTTCGAAGTCCCCATGTTCCACCACCTCGAAGGTCTGTAACTGGATATTTAAGCAAAAAGTATCGATTTTTAAATTCAACATGAGCACCAAGAGCGTCACCTAAAGCCAAACCTGCCATTGAACCCATTATGCAATTTAGTATGTTTCTGGAACCAACCTCTGGTGGATCCATCAGTTGGTTTTCGAGTTCATGAGGTTTCTTAATCATGCCGTTAGCATGATACTGTGGATACAGCCATGGTTTTTCTAAAAAGAAAAAAAGAACATTGCTTTCTAATTCATTGATTATATTAGTTCTATCGGTAGTACTTTTCTTGTCAGTAGAAAAATCTTATCTCATTCACAAACAATCTTTGTATGCATTCTGTTAAAAGTTATATGAAGAAAGCATATGTAGATTTGTCGTTTGATTTACAATTCCAATAAGTACAACTAAGTTATCACAAAAATCAATTCATTGTGGAAGTTAGTGTGACGAGTAATTATCAATATGTTGAAATGATATTCTAAGAATTCATTAGCTAAGTCTTCTACATGTCACATAAGAAAAGAAATAACCATGTACATGTTGTTCGTCATAATATTCTTTCTCAAGTTAAATAGTATTCAAACAACATACAGCGGCTAATATTTCTTTTATTTTATTCTCGTTGGTTTGACGAAGTTTGAAATAAAATAAGTTAAATTATACGTTACCCTTTTCAGGAGATGACTTTTCTTGCGAATACGAATTTGTGTTCATGTTTTCTGTTGATAAATATTTTAAAAACGCTATTTGATTTAGTGTATTGTCTTATGATCGTTCTTCACAATTTATTAATATTGTTTTGACACAACACTGCTATTGCACCTGTCTTGTTTCAAAAAATAATAAGAAGATGAAATATACATTTTTCGTCGTCATTTTTTTTCTACCTTTTCCACGTGATCTACTGCATCATTGTCAAAAAAATAAATAAATTATGATAGAGCAAAGAATCACTCAAGTGGAAAAAACACTCTCTCTTAATGAGCATGACGATAAATGACATACCCACAAGCAACTTATCAAAATGAAAACATGATAGTGGGAAACAACTATCTTATTCATGCAGTCTGACGCACGTCATTTCTATCGGTCGAACCAAATTAATTTTGACATTCTCAACAACGTACGCATCTTTTATCTGGTCATGATATTGAGAATGAGTACTCGGAAAATAATATATCTAACACTAGAACAACATTTCATGACCGAATCGATACTATCAGTTTTCCTATGTTAAAATAATTGATGCAAAAAAGTTCATTTAGAATCAATTATAATCAAAAATTTCGAAATCTCATCTATTAGTCTGATTATTTTTGATTAAAATCGAATTATAAAGAAATTGCTTATGATCGATGTAAAACAAATAAAACTGGATAAAAATTCGAAAGCTAATAATCATACGATATTAATGTAAAATGAATTTTTTTTTTGTACTATTCTGAATCGATTTTAATCCAATCTAATCAGAATCATCGATCGAATTTCAATATTAGCAAGTATTTTTATGATTATAATCAATTAAAAATCGATTGCCTTGTAATTTTTCTACACAACTTTTTTGTTCCGATCTTTAGTAGAAAAAACTGTTTTTTTGTTTTGAACAGAGATGGTCAGGAAAGATGTCAGTTTTGATGAACTTCGTTTGCTTTCAAGACTTGATGTAACAACTAGATGGCAACCGGATCAAAACTAGAGGTCGCACTTTTACTTAACTTTAGAAACTAAATGCAAAGTACTATTGTAAAATTTAACTACTTTAATACTTCAAATATCGATTACTGAAAAAAATTTGAAAATTCATTAAAAAAAAAACAAGTAATCATTTTTATTATTGATCACAATCCAGTTGTATCTTGAATATATTAACAGTTTAATAAAATTTAGTTTTCTGTTAATGTAACTGAAAAAGTTAGTATTGATCAGTCAATCCTATCTGATATTAGTCTTTGTTACACTCATCCCTATGAGAATACAATCAATAATGCATATCAACTTGTTTCGAATGAACTTTATCGATGGATTATTTAATTCAAAGCTTTATAAAGACCAAGAAAATACAATATATTGTTATTGTCGATCAATTCAAGATTCATATAACATAGATCCAACATGAAAATAGACGTTTGAGACTCATAACATAAGAAATGCATTTGACTCATGCAAGATCATTGATCATATTTAACTGCTAGAAGAATGTAAAGAACGATCGAGATCAACATTCACTCACAATAGACGATAGAAGTAGTCAATGATTATTCATAATATTGCCAAAGGGGTAACATTAAGAGAATTCAATTCTGAAGTAGCCTAGAACCAAAGAAGAACAAATATATTTTGAAAACACATTACAGACTTATGATACTTAATCAGCTAATGGAAACAATAAGCGTATCTAATTATAGAACGACGATTATTGCAATTGTTTAATTTTCACATGAATTATTCTGCTTCAAGATATTTTTTAATGTTTAATTTTTCTTTTTTGCTCTAATACTATAACTTCTAAAATAATTTTTTGTATCTTTACTTTTAAAGTATGTGAATGATTCTATCATGATTATTGTAATTAAAGTTTATGTCATGGTACAAAATTCTAGTGAAAATACAACACATTAAGTAGATGATTTATGGATATTATTCTGTATATGATGACAATTTTTTCAAAATGTATATTATCATTTTCAGTATTGTGAGAATATCGAAAATTACTTTTCTTTACAAATACTGTTTGCGATATGGAAGCATGGGATCTAGTTCAAACGAATTTATAAGAGCAAAATAACGAAGATATAGAGATATAACATTAGTAATAACTTGCAATTTCTTGGATATTGAAAAACTTTAAGTTGTGAAAATATGTCAACAAAATCTTTATGTCATCTTGTGTTGAATGTGTCAAAAATATGAATAAATCATAATTGATGAGTATTGCTTATCTACTAATTATTTTTAATTATTTTATATTCCTAATATCACATACATGTTAACCAAGGTTAAAAATTAGCACTGTTTATCATGTCAATAGTAACATCTACTACTCATAGTTCGTATTATGCGAAAATTGTGAGAAAAAAAAAAATCTGTATAACAACAAACAATTAGCTCATATGTTCTGTTATGGAATAAAAATTTAGATTGCATCCTTTTCTGTCAGTCAAGATATACAGAAGTTGCAAATCGCTTTCTTCTGTACTCATCTCTGATTGAAACAACTCGATAAATGTTCTTATTCATGTCAATATAATACTCATATATAGAAGAAAATTATTCTATTCTCTTATTGAAACCCAAAAACAAAAAGTACTCTCATTCTTGATTCTTAATATGTTTATTCGATTATAATTTTATATAAAGTCGAAGTTTAGTATTATTGTTAACATATGAAATATTGAACAGAAAATTTTGTTTCTTTTTTTTTTTTTAGTTAGAATTTACGAACTAGAGATGAACTAATTCAGTCGAGACGACATAAAATCAACTATACACAAAACTTTGTAATAAATAATAAATGAACTTAATCGTATTAACTCTTATTTTTGATATTGATAGTTTGCAATGACTTGATATAGTCTAACAAGAAGGTAAATAAATAAAACAAAATTGTATCAAGGACTATAATAAATAATAGATATTCAATCTTATTCTTGTAAATATTTATTTAATTTTTACAAAATATAATAAACATAAAATGATTCTGCTTTTCTTTTTCTTATTAATCAAAAAAACTGCTAATGTATTTATACAGAAGGTTAATATCACTATAATATTATTCTAAAGCTTGCTGACAGACTAGATTTTCAGCCAAACATATTTATTAACAGCCGCTAGTTGCCAATTGATATTTGAAAAGTTCTTGTATAATGTAATGTCTTAAATTTTTTATTCATTATCATACGACACCCTTTCCTATTTCAATATGTCGAAGTAATGATTAATCACTGCAATGTTAGTAAGTCTTCATATATGAATATTTCGGCATCTTTTATAATATGTTTATTATACTATAGATCAACGATCAACAACAATGTACTTTCTTCTTTTTTATAACAAATGTCTACTATTACAGTCTTATGATAATAGTTTTTAAGATTTCTTTTTTGTCTTAACTATGATCGATAAAAATCAGAAAAAAAAAGTAATTATCAATTATTTCAATACAATGGGTTTTATTTTACCCTGATAGACGAAAAAGAAAAAATAAAATTGCAAAATTAAACACATACACAAAAAAAGAAACATGTCATTCAATATGCAGAATCGTTTTTTAAATACATATATATATATATGTATATATATAAATCTAAATGATTGTTTTTTTTTTGTTTGAAGCATGTGAATGCATAAAGCTGAGCATAATAAAAACACAAATTAATATATAAACTTGAACAAGAATATTTAACCGATTTAATAGAATAAGACGACAGGAAAATAAATTGTATCAATATCACAGATTTGCATATTAAAATAATTCAATGATTATTTACCCATAACAACTTTAACAAGTTCTAAATATGAAATATGAATAAATAAATAAATAAATTTAATATTAAAAACTTACCCTCATACCGGATAATTCCATTACCAGCTGTATCAATTTCACGTAACATTTCATCAACTTCATGATCGGTAAATTGTTCACCCAAATTAGTCATCACATATCTCGATAAAACAAAATATTGATCTAAATTTTTTTTAATATAAAGATAAAGATTTCTATTACCTTAATTCAGCTACTTTAATAAAACCATTTCCATTTTTATCAAAAACACGAAAAGCTTCTCTTAATTCATCTTCTTCACTATGTTCATTGGCTCGTTTAGCCATCATTTGAAGAAATTCATTAAAATCAATCAATCCTTTACCTAGACAAGCAACAAAAAATTTAATATATATATATATATTAAAACAAACCTTCACAATCAAATTCATTGATTAATCCTTTCAATTCATCTTCAGTGGGATTTTGCCCGAGTGTTCTCATTACACTTCCGAGCACTTTGGGACTAATGGCACCGTCTGAATCTTTATCGTAGAGAAGAAAAGCTTGTCGAAATTCTATAAACAAAAAAAACAAAACGAAACTTTCTCATCATTTCAAAATTAATATTATTTAATTAAATCTTTACCTTGAATTTGTTCTTCTGTAAAATGTTCAAGCTAAAATAAAACCAAAGAAAATTATTATGATATGAACTAATCAATTTTTTTATTATTACTTGATCAATATTATCAAAAAGAAAATAATCTATATCAATCATAGATGATTGTATCTTAGACTAACAATCGATGTTATATATATATTGCTAACTATTAATATATTAATGTAATTAAAGGTTTTTTTTTTCCTTTTTCATCAATTTATTCGAAGATAAGATGTTAACAAAAATAATACAGCAAAAAAAAAGAAAAAGAAAATAAACACTTGTCACCGCGCGATTCGATGAGTAAATGTATAAGAAAAAGAAATTGTTTGGTCGGATAATATACATTTAACTTTGTCTACAAATAGAATATTAACTAAAGAACTGAAAGTACAAAAACATATACACACATAGCCAATAATATATATATCAGCATATCTACGTCAAACAAATCATCTGACTAGAAAGATAATTTCTATGAGAGACAAGGTCTTACTAAATGATTTCAACACATATCAAAACAGACCAAAAGATTCTATCTTTACATTGATATCAATATAACAGAAACTAATAGATAATGTCGAAAATTCGACAGAATCTATATCAATCTATTACGAGAAAGTAAGAATATAAATGAATTTTATTTTAAACAACAAATCTAAGTACAGTCATTATGACTTTTATTAATATTTAACATTTAATAATAATAATTAGCCTTGAGATAAATCTTATCGATAAAAAGTACAATTCATTTTTCGTACCTTAGCTTGTAATGGATCATATGCATAGAGTAGATCAGTAGAGATTTGTTGATTTAGAGCCTGATTAACATGAATACCTCTGGGAATACATGTTGTACAAGGATTTTCATAAAAAAATTTCGCCAACATTGATAATACCGAACGATCACTACTAGGAATAGTAGTAGTTGCTTTACCAGTGTGGATATTTTTTCGATAAATTGAATAACACGAACCTATTTTGTTTCTTATTCAAGTAAGAATAATATTGAAATGATATTTATTCTATAGTTTTAAAATGCTAATGATTGATGAAAAAAAAAATAGATGAAACACCGATCCATTGTTGTTGCATGTGTTGCGGTTTTTTCTTTTTCATCTTGTCGACGTAGATCGGTATTTCGATTAGTGTTGTTATTCTTTCTTTTTTTTTTTTTTTATACAAAAGACTGTGCATGTAAGTGTCACATATTTAAAAAAAACAAGAGACATAAAGAATAAGAAAAGGAAATAATACTATTGACGATGTTTTGTAACTATCACTAACGGATGTTAGTAACAAACGACAGTAATGGCAACAGGTGCCCAACAATGAATACATCTTAAGAATAGCTTAGTTCCGTTTTTATTCTTGTGGAAAAGATAAATCAAATGGTTGAATAGAAATAAATGAAGACAGGAGAACAATACAAGAATATTCCCTAGACTCATGACATGAAATATCTAATTACCATTTTGATCTTATCATGGCAACACGTTGAGTAATCAATTGACATTCTTTCTACATAGCAAATGATAAAAAATGATCTATAATCATTTAGTACTCGTCTATCTTTCATCTCTTACAATCCAAAATACATTAATAAAGACACTTTTTTTTTTTATTCCATGATGATTGTATAACTTAATATTTGCATTCTTTATTGTTTCTTATCTCTTATCATCTATTAAATAATAATAATAAAACCTCAAAATATCACAATTGAATATTTTCATATAAATTTTGATTTAAAAAAAAAAAGAAAGTAGACATTAAATATACATACAAAAAAAAAAAAAGATTATTTTTATACAACGTTTTGTCTTAAGAGTATTTTCTTTTCTAAATAAAACTCTGTGACCGAGACAGCTGTTACTTTTTTTCACGGTCATTGATGAAAAAATATTCCATTGATGCATTTATCTATACATGTCACTGGTAATCATCAAAGACGGAGATTGTCAACCTATCAAAATTAGTAAAGACAAAGCAGTTAGAAAAATACTCTTAGCAATGATATATGATGAACAACAATCCATTATTTTCGTCAGTAAAAACGATAATGACATTGTACTACTAAATAGTAAGAAAAAAAATAGATCGAACAGACGTAAAAACAATCAGACAACTGTACATTGATGTCATCGTTTTCTTTTTTTCTTTTTGTCATTCTATTTTGATGACGTGAAGACACAAAAAAAAAAAAAAGAATAGTAAAAACACTTATTTTATTTTATCGAACGATATTCTTATATTAATTTTGTATATTCTATAAATAATATTCAATTTATTTGTTTCTTTATCATCTTTTAACAAGAATAAGAGAAAAAAAAAAAAAATGCTTCTTCTAAAAATATTATAAATTGGAAATATATATGTAGAATTATTATTATTGTTACAACATAAATCGAAAAAAACGTCTATGTCATATTTTTGTGATTTATATCTGACATTCGTAAGAAAAAGAAAACAAAACATGAAAACAACAGGCATATGTGCCTGTTACCATTCAAAAAGCTAATCGACAAAAACACCAACAGTTCTGGATAGATATCTCTATCTGTATATGATGCAAATTCCTTTCGAAGACCGATTTTATCATAAAGAATAATCGAACTTAAGTCCGATAATATATATATATATATGAGAGAACTTTAGTTAATTGTTTTCAAAAAAAAAAAAAAATAAGAACTTACCCAATTAGTGACCCTTGTTAGTGGTTGACTGGTGGAGAACTTGTTCATGTGTTGTTATTGTCTTATATGTATTGCCGCCCATGAATGGATCGAATTCATTCGTCCATTTCACACAATTGTTTTAGATAGTAGGCTTAAAGTTAATACGTTTTTTTCGCTTTTGTTTTTGTTTCTTCTATATTTATTATTTTGCTAAGAAGAAATACTTGCTTTACTCTGTTTGTTGGCTATAGATAAATGAGTGTTGATAGATCTTTGAGAATCTTTTTCTTGTTTGCGTTTCTTTTCTCTCTCTCTCTTTTTATGTATTTATGTGTGTGTATTTGTTATTCGATCTATCTATACATATACACATTATACACAAGAGAGAAATAGCCAGCTCGCTACTAATACATGAGACAAAATGGAAAATGGCATAAGAGACAGAAAAAGAGAGAGAGAGAGAGAGAGAGAGAAAGAGATACACAGAATATGATATTATGAAAGACAACAACGAGTGGTGCCATCGTTAAGCAAAGAAAAGAAATTATCATATTGTACCATAAACACTAGTAATACAATAGCTTTAAGGCATATGTTTCATTAAGTATAAGGTAGAATTTTATGTCTATTGATCCAGATAAAATGTCAGGCGCTTAAGTATGTGTTTATCTGTTTCTCTAAACGTTTTTATAGAAAAATAACAAAACATAATATAATGCATTCAAATATATTTTTTTTTTCTTATTAATAAAAGAAAATTCTACGAATATATTTTATTATTTATATTTATTGAAAATTTTCAATTGTTAATATCTATGTTAACTAGAAGTTAATTTTCTCAAACAATTTGAAGATTATAAAGTTAGTCGTACATTAGTATTAAACTTTTGATGAAAGTTAGTCAAATAAATTAATCTCTAGTCATCAAATATATTATAAGATATTGTACGTAATAACGATATTAACAATCTCGGATCAAAGAGTATTAGTTGGAAACCTATTGATCTTCTAGAAAAGAAATATGATTATTCTACTATAGCAAAAAAAAGAAGTCGATCATGTTACTCAGAAATATATAAATTAAGGAATACAACAAACTTAGAAGATCTTGTTTATATTAATAATAATAATAAAAAAAAAAGCTCTTTTTAATTAGACTAATTTAAAAAATCTGATCTTAATATATATTCCAAATGAAGAAGCCATTATTTATTAGATTCAATACCAGATAAAACAGTTCTATTTTGCTTTAAGTGTCAGTCATATGAGACTATAATACATAACATTATAAAGGTCAACTTGATAGGAATATTATAACGATAATTACCATAACATGTACATATATTCGTATATCTTATTGATTTTAGTTGTTATTAAGAACTTTATTTATATCAATGTATTTCTTTTTTTTTGTTGTTGTTGTTTTGATCATAAAGATAGTTTAATGTTGTACGATGTATTTATATGAATAGAATTATTATTCCTTCGAGTATAAAATAAAAATATTTTGCAATCTCGATAGGATTGTAAAAAAAGAAAAACTAATTTAAAAATAATTTTGAAGAAGATAAATTTTGTTTTTGTATTGAAAAAAGTGTCAATGTATTTGTTTGAATTTTAGCATTTCGTCGTTGTTCATAATCAAATAATGTTTGAGTAGCAATTGAATTTTTTGATCGTTTTATTTTTCGATATTTTGTATTTAATTGAGGTAGACAAAATTTAACAATTTTTAAATGATTTTTTTCAACAATATAATGATGAACTTCATTCATCGTTACAACGCGATCAATTATATCTAATAATGTTGATCGAACATCATACCAAAAACAAAAATCAGCAATAGTTAATATATATTTAGCATGAAATAAACATTCTAGAGAAGATCTAATTTAAACTTATATTCAATTAAAAATAAAAAATCAATCATTAACAAATATTTACATTATATTAATAGATGTCTGAGACAATAAAGAAGAACAAGATATTGGAGACATTGGAATAAGTTGTGCATGTATATTTTTCATTGAATAATTACCATTAATATTCTTTTTAAATAATTTTATAATTGATAAAAAATTATAAAATAAAATACTTACAAAATAATGACATGTACATCTAGTTTGTTTATTAACTAAACTCAATGATTGATCACAACAAGAAGAAATGGCTAAAATAATTATCGTATATTCTTTCTAGTATAATAAAAATGCGAAAACCTCGGATTTAAATCCGAGTGTTATGTGTACTTCAAAAAGTGAACAGGTATATTCACTTTGTTTTTTATCATTTTTTGGATGCAGTTTTTGTACATTTTGAGACTTTTTTCAGGCGATGTTTTGTTAGAAAGCTATGATTTGGTTCAAAACTAATATCAGATTCGGAATCAGCGTTAAAAACTGAGTCGATTTATATATGTTGTGAATAATTCTGAAAAAAAATTTTTTTTTTGAAAAAATTCCTGTACCCCCCCTCAGGGATGGTCTGGTCAATAATGACAATTTTTTCGATAACTCAGCCATTTCTTGACGGATCCTTCTCATCTTCGAACTCGACCGAGACACTGATGAGACTGAACTGTATAGTAAATTTCATCACGATCTGACTCTCCTTTCGAAAGTTAGCATGTAAACGGCTGGACACACTGACCGATTCTATAGTGTACTCACTTTTTGAGTACACAAAAATACTACTAAATTTTTTTTTTCATGTTCAGATTCTTGTACAGAAAAGCGAAAATTCAAAAAAAAGGAAAGACTAACATCGATCAATAGATTGTTTAACATTATTGGATAATATATTCATAGAAGAAGATGTTGATTTTATTATTTCTTTTTTCTTTTTTGAACGATGTCGTGTGAGTAAATCACAAAATAATTTCATCGTTTCGACACACGAAATCAAATTCGATTGTATGTGTCTTATGTTTGAAAAATAAGAAAAAAAAAGGCGCATAGAAATTGTTCATTTTCTCTCATTTAAATATATTCAATTAAAATATTTCGACTGGAAAATTTTTAGAAGTTTCTAAAAGTCTTCGAGAGTTGTTAATGTACAGAACTTTAGGCCCAAACTCGTATGTTGCGGATAGAATGTTTCTAAACTTTCTGATCTCAAAGGTAAGGTATCATCTTGAATAATTCCGTCATTAGAGTAATGTTTTATATGATTCCAGCTTTAAATAAATTGCAAGTAAAATAACTTCAATATAAATGTAAATGATGATCAATAACAAAAATAATATTAACTTAATCAAAAAATTTTCTAAAGTAGATTTTTAACTCAACTTAGAAGAAAAATGAATAAAAACAAATTACAAGTCTAAAGAATTCAATATAAATAAATATAAAATATAAAATTTTAAAATTTATTTTCAATACAACAAACAAAAGTTTTTGAATACTTTCAATTAATTCACAGTTACTCCGTATTTATATATAAAGCACACAATCAATTAATTAAATCATGACATTCAACAGCATAGTTTTAAATGACAAGCAACCAATATATTTTTGTATCTATCAGCATCTGAATTTCGACCAATGCCTTTATTAAATCAATTCAGCTTTTCGGTTAGAAATATGTTCAGATTTTATGAATTCTAAATTTTTGAAATTTTTCGAAATATCAAAGTTTGGTATAAAGACCAAATTCACATAATTTCAAGAGGTTCATAAGAAAACTTTGATTTTTGAAAAATTTCAAAAATTTAGAATTCATGAAATCTGAACGATGCTGATTTACTGAGGTCAATTATAATATTTAACAGTAGTATTACTTTAAATAAACTTCAAGCACTAACAAAAAATTGAATCAATGCAGAATTTTTAATATGAATGATACTTATGATCCATCCCGTATGCTTTCATCCTGATGTAGCAGCTTCCGTTTTTTTTTAAAGAGATTATTAATTTGCAAAAGTTTACTTCAGATTTCAATGGAATTCTGATGAATCTGAGGCATTTAATCTAACAGCATATTGATAGAACAAATTTTCAAAGAAATTTATCAACAACGATCGCTACAATAGTGACTATATATATGAGCCACCACATCAAAAGGCATTGATTGTTTAAACTAATGTTTTAAATTGCTTGTAGTTCTACACATCTCAATTGCTTGCTTGTTAGATTTAAAAATTTCCTATTGGTTAATAATTTATCTAATAAATAGTAAAATAAAATAGACTATAATTATAAAAACATTCATTAGTTATATTTATATTTTTAATAAAATAAAAATAAAAAAATAATTATAAAAATTGTAAAATTTTAAATAAAAATTTTTCAATGCATAAATGTTTAATATATAAAAAATCTCAGACGATCCTCCATGATTTGTTTTTTTTTTTTTTTTTTTTTTTTCTTCTTCTCTTCCATTCCTTGTGTATGTATGTAATAATGATGGTGGTCTGTTGTTTGTTTATTTATTCACTCAATCATTAATTTTAAATCTATTGAGATATTTATCTTTTTTAGATGGTATGAAGTCTCTCGTTAAACGTCCAATTTCATTAAATAATATTAATTCTTCATTATCTCATCTTTATTTATTTCCACAAGCAATCGAAAACATTACAAGCAGATGATCATCATTCTTTATTTATTTCTAATTTACTAGTCAATTTAGTTTATATCGATAGAATTTTCAAACAAAAAAAAATATATAGAATAAAATATTAAAATTAAAACACAAATCAATCATCAAGATGATGTGCTGTTTATCTGCTGAAGCACGTGAACAGAAACAAATAAATCGTGAAATTGAAAAACAATTACGTCTTGATAAAAAAAATCAACGACGAGAATTAAAATTACTTTTACTTGGTATATATATATATATATTATAAATCTAGTAATATAAATATTTTTAATATATAGGTACTGGAGAATCTGGTAAATCAACATTTATTAAACAAATGCGTATAATACATGGTACTGGTTATTCCGAAGAAGATAAACGTTCATTTGTTAAACTTGTTTATCAAAATATATTCATGGCAATGCATTCAATGATTCGTGCTATGGATACGCTCAAAATACAATATAGAGATAAAAGAAATGAGGTTAGAAATTTTATTTATTGGTTTTATTTATTAGTTTTTTTTTCAGCAAGAACATGCAGCACTTGTACGGTCAGTTGATTATGAAACAGTGACAACATTTGAACCACAATATGTTGAAGCTATTAAAAGTCTTTGGAATGATCCTGGAATAAAAGAGTGTTATGATAGACGAAGAGAATATCAATTAACAGATTCAGCTAAATAGTAAAAATGAAATTTTGTTTTTTTTTAAATACAAAATATTTTTATTTTATTATGTATTAGTTATTTGGATAGTATTGATCGAATTGCTTCCCCAGGTTATTTACCTACAGAACAAGATGTTCTACGAGTACGAGTACCTACAACGGGTATTATTGAATATCCTTTTGATCTTGAAAATATTATTTTTCGGTAAATATATATTTTAATTTTCGAAATATATATAAAATATTTGAATTTAATTAGAATGGTTGATGTTGGTGGTCAAAGATCTGAACGTCGAAAATGGATTCATTGTTTTGAAAATGTTACTTCGATAATGTTTCTTGCAGCATTAAGCGAATATGATCAAGTTCTTGTTGAATCTGACAATGAAGTATGACAAATATAAATTTTTTTTTTTTTGCATCTTAAAAAACAAAAATTTTTAGAATCGAATGGAAGAGAGCAAAGCATTGTTCCGTACGATCATAACTTATCCATGGTTTACAAATTCATCTGTGATCCTTTTCTTAAATAAAAAAGATTTACTCGAAGAGAAAATTATGCATTCACATTTGGTTGATTATTTTCCTGAATTTGATGGTAGAAAATTTTTTTGAAAAATCTATTATTATTAAAATTTTTCTATAATTTATTTTAAAGGTCCCAAACGTGATGCTCAAGCAGCACGCGAATTTATATTAAAAATGTATGTTGATCTCAATCCAGATAGTGATAAGATTATCTATTCACATTTTACCTGTGCAACTGGTAAGTTCAATTTTGTTTTTTAATATTTGCTACAATGATGACAAAATAAAACTTGCGCAGTGGTATGAGAAGATATTGATAAAGAGATTTAACCAAGCGGTTTAATTATTTATCATTAGATCTTCAATGAGTATAATATGCATATCATCCTTGCACTGAGTAGCAAAAGAAAAAAACCATTTTGAATATTTAATATTGATTTATTTAGATACCGAAAATATCCGCTTTGTGTTTGCTGCTGTTAAAGACACAATACTTCAATTGAACCTCAAAGAGTACAATTTGGTTTAGAAGAAAATAATTGAAAAAAAAAAAGAAAAATTTTTTTTTTTTCGTTAGTCGTCAAACAGACAGACATGTGGCTCTCTCTCTTTTTCTCATTTTTTTTTTCTTTTCGTTTATTATTATTATTATTATTATTATTATTATTATTATTATTATGATTATTTTTGTGTCTCTTTTATTCTCTTATTCACACACTCTACACTATTATATTAGAATGGTCGTTTCATTTTTCTTTCTCATTTTTCATTTGTGTGTGTGTGTGTGTGTATTTCTCGTACAGTGTGCATGTTCAAAGTCAAACTCGAGTTGTTTCCTCTAGTTCAATTTATCGTTCTTTTATAAATTTGTGTATCTCTGAAAGCGCTCGACAGAGAAAAACACTAAAACCAACAGTGACATTATACACAGGCAGCCGAAATCGTTTTTCTTTTTTGTGTCTGTTTGTCATATATACATACCTCATATCTGTTTTGTACTTACGCATTGAGCGTATTATTGCTGCTGCTCTCTAGTCTCTCTTCTTTTTTTTTTTTTCTATGTTGTTATTCGTTGTCATTGTCGTTGATTCTTGTGTCTTAAATTTCTTCTTCTTTTTTTCGTTCTGCATATTGTTCGATTCTTGGAATGACAGCAATACTCATTGGTGGTGTCCATCATGCAATAGCCACAATATTTGGCCCCCTGCACAAATGTGCGTGTCTAGTATTCGATCTGACTCTATATTTGTCTATCGCTTTTAGCATCTTTTGTTTCTCTCGGTTTTTTTTTTTACTTAATTTCTTTTTTTTTTCTTTTGCGTGTGTGTATCTTGTGTGTATGTCTTCTGAACTACAATAATCGTTGCGTTGCAGTGTCGCCGCTTCTTTCTCTCAATCTCTCTTTTCTTTTTTTTTCATACTCTATTACTACAAGAAGGTTCTCTCTTTTTTTTTTTCTTTTTTCTCTGGTTTTTCAATTGTATAAAATAAATAAACGAATAATGAAGAAAAAATATTCTCTTCTTTTTTTTTTTTTCTTTTTAAATTATTATTTAATTCGTCAAATAATAAATCTAAATATATATTTTCTAGATATTCTAGCGTAAGTCGTTGTGAACGACTAATTTATTGAATTTCATCAAACTAAAACAAAAATAAATAAATTTCATGTAAGTTAGTTTTTTTATTTAATTAAAAATAGAAAATTTTAAATATAAATATATTATTATCATAGATATAAAACATGGCTGATCAAGAAGCTACTGGTTTAAGTGCAGCTGAATTAAAAAAGAAACGAACATTTCGTAAATTTACATATCGTGGTGTTGATCTCGATCAATTATTAGATATGAGTAATGAACAATTAATGCCATTATTACATTGTCGTGCACGACGTCGTTTATCACGTGGTCTTAAACGTAAACCAATGGCTTTAATAAAACGTTTACGTAAAGCTAAAAAAGAAACACCTGAATTAGAAAAACCACAAGCTATTAAAACACATTTACGTGATATGATTATTGTACCTGAAATGGTTGGCTGTGTTGTTGGTGTTCATCAAGGAAAAACATTTAATTCAATTGAAATAAAACCTGAAATGATTGGACATTATTTAGGAGAATTTTCAATAACATATAAACCAGTTAAACACGGTCGACCTGGTATTGGTGCAACACATTCATCTCGTTTTATTCCACTCAAATAAAGAGTTTTAATGAAAAAAAACCAAAAAAAAGAAAAATCAAATATATATTGTTTGTTTTAATCATTTAACAACATTTGATTTAAGACGAATACAATAACAAGAATATCATCGTTGATTTATAACATCTTTATTGTTTTATTAATAAAAAAAGAAAACAGAAAAAATAAATGATAAATATAAAAATTTTCATTTGAATATCATCATTTATAATTAGCTATCTATATGAAACAATTGATGTTGTTTTTTTTTTCACAAGTTCAATCTTAAACTGAAGAATTCACAAAAAGTTTCAAGACTTTATATTTCAAAAATATTTTTTGTAAAATTTTGATAAAGGTAAGTATACGAAAAACAAAAATAGTTTCATTTAAAAAAAACGAAAACTTTCCAGCTAAACAAATAAACGAATAATAATTCATTCGTATCAAAAAAAACTCCATAATAAGTATCAATTGTTTTCAAACAAGTTAAGAAATAATATTTAGATATTTACTGGGTAATCGTTTTTTGTACTTGAATAAAATATTATAAATATTATTTCGTTTCGACTCATGTCAAATCTTGTTCTATTATTTTAAAACAATAAATTGAATAAAGAATACATTTAAATGAATTCTTCTCTAATTTGTGATATTACACTTGTATTAATATTAAACAGATGTCGGTTATCATAATTATCATGTTATTGTATATACTTACTTAGACATTCATTGAATTTCAAATAATTATAAATAATTTTCTTTTGTTTTAGAAGGTTTATAAAATATTAAAATATAACAACTTGACATGAGTAAAATTAATATTTGTTGAGTAAACAAATCGTGAATAGAATAAAAACAAAGTACGAACGGAAAAGTCTATTAAACATACAATGTTCTTTTTTTTTTTATTTGTTAATATTATTTATTCAAAAAAAGAAAAACGTTTTTAGTGAAAAAAAAAAGAAAAAACTTTGATGCCTATATTCTATAATAAGCATAAACTTTAAAATTTATTTAAAATTCATGAACATTCATATTTATATGAGTATTATTATTATTATTATTATTATGTGGTATGGATTTTGATTGAAGAAGAATTTGCTCAGTTTGATTTCGTCTATTTGATAGAGATTTTCTTCTTTTTAATTTAAATAATTGTATTAATTCATTTCGAAAAACTCCACCTGTTAATGTATAAATATAAAAATGTATTGCATGATTTAATTGTCCCATAGCAATAAATATAGCTGTCAATAAAGCCATGGCACCTTTTGTTTGTGACGTAGTTGATGGACGGAATGCACGTACCGTGTCATTTATTTCTGTTGGTAATGTAAATACTAAAAAAGCTAAAAAAACAAAAAACAAAATAAAAACGAGAAAAATTTTTTTATTTTTTTTTAAATATTAATAAAACTAACCAGCTGCACTACCAAGTAACATCACAGTTAATTGCTTTTCTTTTTCATGTCTTTTACGAACTTTTTTTGATTGAATTGTTGTTGTTATTATTGTTCTTATTGATCGTCGTGATGTTATAACACGTATTAATATAATTATATTACATACTAACATAACAATAAATGGAATAACAACAGCAAATAACATATCTAATGAATCAAATATTGCATAAAAACGATCATAAGTTATTGGATTATGTTTATTACTAAAAAGAATTGGTTTTTTAGATGGCATGCATGCTTGAAATGATTCAGGTATTTCAGTGATTTCAAAACCAAAAAATATATGTCCATTTATTAAAAGAAATATTATTGACATAGCTATTATTATATATATAGCAATACGTGCACGACAAAATTTTGTTGAAGTTTGAGGACATTGTATTGATACAGCTCGATCAATTGATGCAACAGCTAATAAAAAATTTGAAAGATCTGTTGTAAAATAAACCATTAATGGATTTAATTTACATATAAATAATGATTTTGTCGTTAATGTTACATTATTATAAGATGGAAGGACGGTATCAATAAATGAAGCACATAAAGATGCTATATCAGTTATTGCTAAAGCAAGAAAATAAACAGCACATGAACGATGCCTTAATGATGGTCGACTAAAGACAAGAACACTGAGTAAATTTCCAATAACACCAATAATAAATATAGTTAAACATATATATTTATAAACAATTGTTTCAGTTATATGTTGATATGGATCATAGGATGATTCAGAATCAATATGTGTTGTTGTTAAATTAAAAGGTTTTTGAAATGATGACGATGATGATGATGATGATGATGATGATGATGATGATGATGAGAAATTAAATAATATTGCATTTGAATGTGATAAACCAAGAAGATTTTCACCAGGAATAATACGTTCTAATTCTAATAAATTTGATTTCATTATACAAACTAAATGACAAAAAAAAAAAAAAAAATAAAAAATTTTTAAAAAAATAATTTTTAACCAATTATTTTTCTTACATTAGATTAAAGAAAAATCGATTATATTCATTCAAGAATAGTGAAGAATCATAAACTCGTTTTCAAAGAAAAAACAAGTCAACTTGAATATAACTCAACAAACAATAGAAGAAAATAAAAGGGATGTTTGAAAGTGATTTCCGGTCAAACTATACTTTATTTCTATGATTTTATGAATACTTTTTGTTGTTGCTGTTGTACCATCTATTCATATAACTCATAGTTTTTCTTAAGCTCTTGGATAATTCAATGTACAGATGTTTCTTGGTTTTTTTTTATCTGCTAACTATTTTATATTAAAACATTCGAATAAAATTAGCAATTTCATTATCAACATCAAAAAAAAAAAAAAAAAGAAAAGTATAAAAATCTGCACATTGTATATTTAATGTAAAACAGTCTGTGTCTTTTATCTTACAAAAAAAAAAACAATTTTGGTACTAAACAGACTGACAATTGATGATTATAGTTCTATTCTACTTTTTCTTTTTTTATTTTCAATAACATCTGTCGAAACAAACACAATATAAATTAAAGCTCAAATTACTTTCTAATTGAAATGCATAAAAATAGAAATTTTATTAGAAATCGTAAGTTCAATGTATGTTATGCTTATCAGGAAATAACGAGCATTAATCGAACATGTTGTTTCTCAATGCATTTCTGTGCGATCTCTTATGCTCGAGAAGAGAGGCAAATATTAGCATTTTTTTCTTTTACTTCCAATCGACACTCTTCCCTTACTATTGAATTGATAAGCACTTTTCTTCTTCTTTTTTTTTTTTTTTTTTTTCGTTCACCGATTGTCACCGACGTTCATAATCGTAGTCAATGGTCGAGATCATTGTAAACAACAGTCGTTGAGATGCTAACGTTCTTGTTACATTTATATATTCTGAAAATGAAAAAAAAGAAATAAAATAAAAAATAAAATAGTCACCTGCAATTTAGAATCAAAGTAAATCGTTAGTTATATATGCTCGTTCTCACTTATGAGTTAAAAAAAAAAAAAAGAAAGAAGTAAATTATCGGGAAAATATAATAGAAAAAAACGATTTTTCCAACAGATGATTTTTCTCATTAATAATAGATCAGCATCTTTTTTTTTTCTGCTAATCAAGATCAATTCTTAGCTGTTTGCAAGTTTCTACGTTGTTTTAATCTATCAATGTGTTAGATAAGAAAAAGAAAAAGAAATTCACTTGAGGATCTATATATTAAAGCATGTGTATAATCGATGAGGATAATTCGTAATACGAATTTTTGTCTTTTAAATAGAGATAGAAATGCAAAACACTCATAGTCTATTAACAAAAGAAAAAAATGCTACAAAATGAGATTGTCCGAGGGCATAACGCCATTTTATTCATCTTTGAACGAATAGACACAATGAACTGCATAGTAATAACTTGGATACTATATAATGGAATTAGGAGAACGTGTCAATGATGGTAATAGTGACGTTGAAACTAAAAGAAAAAGAAGAAAAAGAGAAAAACAGACTATTCTAATTGTTATGCCAGAACTTGACATCATCGCTTTGCCACATATGATGCTCTCAAAATTTTATTGGGCCTGACAGTTTAACACATACTTATCATGCCGTCTTTCCATCGATTGTGTATTTTATAATTGAGCACTTGAGAAGAATGACGAAAAGAAACTAAATTAGTGATATTGAATAACGAATAACTTTATACTATTTTTTGACTATAAACGTACTAAATGAACATTTCCTTTAATTAAATATGATCGTTATAATTATTTCATGTTAACTTTAATAAATTATAATTTATAATACAAAAGCCAAAGATTCTCAAACTATTGTCACGTATTCAATCTAATTTGTAGATATAAAATTATTTATTTAATATAATTTTCTAGATGATTTCATTTATTATTCTACTAAAAGATCTTTTATATTTTATTTGGAATAGATTAAAAAAAAGAAAAAAGAAAACTAATGATATTATTTTCTATTATATTTAAAAAGCATACCTTATGTATTGTTGACAATATCTGTTATGTTTACTAATCGTTTGAGCTCGTTTTTTTTTATCACTTTTTTCTTTTTTAATAATGATATAAGAAGAAAATTAAATGGAATAATACATAATATGAACAACAGTATACTTTTAGTTGAAGTCAATTAATATTAATGATAATCTAAGCACAATTGTGTGGATCGTGGAATGATGATTAGCAGATATTTCTCATTTATATAATAATTTTCTATGAAGAACTAATCGTCAAACATTTCTTTTTGTTCTTCTTTTTTATTTTTCTTCGTTTTTTTTTCTTCTGGTGATAGTAGTTGTGATGATGATAATGATTATTATTATTATTATTATTATTATTATTTTTATTCGGAAAAGAATATCGTTGCAACAGTTATGTCAACAAACTGGAAAATACACAACAATGAATATGATAATATAGATACAAACAAAGAACGAAAAGAAAAGAAAAGATCACACATATTACTATTAAGCTAATATATCAATCAAATAGTAATACTAATCTTAGAAATGACTTGTTTCTTGTTATTTTCAAGTATATAAATCAA